GGCGCTGAACGCCTGCCCTGCATGTCGAGTCTGTTTCCAAAGAAGTGGAGCCTGTTCTCGAGGGGGAAATTAGACTCCATCGCAGGGCTACTTCCGACGGGCTTTGAAAACGGAAAGCAAGCCCAGGACGGCTGCAGACAGACGCAGTTTTGATTTAATAGCAAAGCCTCGTGCTTTGGAACCTGCAGGGACCCTCCGTGAGGCGACCTCTCCGGGTGCGTCCGGTTGGCATTCCATTCCTTTTCCGCAGCCCCGCGAGTGGTTATGGTGCTCCTGTGTTTAGGCTGTCGCTCAGGACTTTCTCCCCCATACAGACTTAATTTGTTCCAATCATGCATCTGGGGCTTTAGATGTTCACTTAGCATTTGCAGTGTCATGCACCAACCGAAATTCTCTGGATTTAAATGACATATAAAGCCACCAGTGCGCTGAAGTTGTACCTGTCCGCATGCTGGGATGGCTCTCCTCAGCTCCGTTGTCCGTGTTCGGATCACAAATGAGGGTGGGGTATCAGTGCGGCTGCTTGGTTTAACATGACACCCTTTACCTTTTTTGGTGGTTCGTGTGCAGCGCTCAGGCAAACCCAGGGTCTTCCCCAATGACAGTGTTGCTGGTGAGCAGTCGCCCGTGGAAAGTGCTTTTGAAGTCCATGCATCATTTGTTCTGATTTCCTTATGGCCAAAGCAAGCGAAACGACACTGCCCAAATCGTTGTTTTAAGTAACTTCACGAGGCAGTGACCCAAGGAAACCTGTTTGGGGGAATCTTTACTGGAACCTTGTGCTACCAGAAATGCAAAGCATGTACATCTTTTCTAGAAAACTGCGGGCCAAATGTTGTGTTTCAATAAAGACTTTCCCCTCCCGCTTCATCAAATTTATTTTCACTTTAAAAGCCTCGAATAGGTTTTGTTTCTGGTTTTCTAGATTTTAAGACACTGAATTTGCAGAGTATTTGCAAGACTTCAGAATACTGAAGTCTTAAATAACATAAGTTAATCCCCTTTTGCTTTTCCTATCTGAATTCTGAGGATACGTTTCAACTTCATTATGTTCTATCTAAAAAAAAAAAGTTGGACTAGAATTTTGCTGTAATCCCCTTTAATTAAGTTATTAAATATTATGGTATATAGAAGATTGAGATGACATTGTTTTGATAGAACTATTAAAAGGGTTTTCCGGCATGTTTTAATTAAGCTCATTAATTTCAGTGTCCATATTGGATACCAATTATCAGACTGCAAATGTAAATGTTGAATATGACCTTTTACAAATTCTAGATGCATTTCAGTTGACCAGAATGGAAAGAATACTGCAGACTTCCACTTTCCTCCATTCTATTTACCAGGCATAAAATTACAGTTTTAAAAAATCCCTTTAATTTCTTTAGGTTGCAGTTATTTTTTACCCAAGTAAGATCTAACAGGAACTTTCTATGTGAAGATAGAATAGTCGTTCCTCTGAGATCACATTTAACTCTACTAACAGAATCTCTAAGTAAACATTTCCCTTGAGATATGAAAATGTCTCTTTAATAAACTTCTAAATTTACTCCACGAGAGACACATTGTAAGCATCACTAACCTGTGAGCAGTGTGAGTTGCCATTTCTGACCCTGGTGTGTGAGGTACTCTG